TAGGAGGTGTCTTGGGACCCAGCCTCTGATTTCCTAACAGGAACCCTCCCCAAACCCATCATCTGGGCTGAACCAGACTCTGTGATAACCCGGGAGAGCCCTGTGACCATCTGGTGTCAGGGGACACTGGATGCCCAGGAATACATATTGTGTGCACCAGGAAGGTTCTGGGACGAACAGAAACCACTGGATCCTCCAAACAAGGCCAGGTTCAACATTGAATATATGACAGAGCACTATGCAATGGGATATCACTGTTACTATCGAAGTCCTGCTGGATGGTCAGACCCCAGTGACATACTGGAGCTGGTGGTGGCAGGTGAGAGGACACCTGGGGGTCTCAGCCCTAAGCTCTGCCCTCAGGAAGGAGGCCTGCTGTCAGGGGTGATGAGCGAGGTGAGAGCCTATTTAACACTGCTGCCTCCTTCTGTCCTAGGAGTCTTCAGCAAACCCACCCTCTCAGCCCTGCCAAGCCCTGTGGTGACCTCAGGGGAGAATGTGACCCTTCAGTGTGGGTCTGAGGGACTTGGCAAGTTTACTTTGATCAAGGAAGGAGAACCAAAGCTCTCCTGGACACTGGACTCACAGCCTCTCTCCAATGGGCAGTTTCAGGCCCTGTTCCCTGTGGGCCCTGTGATTCCTGGGCACAGGTGGACGTTCAGATGCTATGGCTATTACGGGAACTTACCCCATGTATGGTCAGAGCCCAGTGACCCCCTGGAGCTCCTGATCTCAGGTGAGAAGGTTTCATCCCACACTGTTTGTGGTTTGAGAATCGAAATACGTCACTATGAGCCTTGCTTTCCGGAATCCCAAGATGGCAGTGTAGGGTAAGGGACCAAGGGCTCTGGAGCCAGAGACCCTGAGAATGAGACCCAGTGAGACCTGCAGGGCCAGTACAGGACACTGAGGAGTTGGCAGGAACTGGCCCCTGCAGCTCACAGCCTGTCCTTCCCCCAGGTGTGTCTAAGAAGCCCTCCCTCCTCACCCTGCATGGCTCTGTCCTGGCCCCTGGACAGAACCTGACCCTCCAGTGTCATTCTGACGTCGGCTACAACAGATTTGCTCTGTCCCAGGATGAAGGACATGTCCTCACCCAGCACCCTGGAGAACAGCCCCAGGCTGGGCTCTCTCAGGCCGACTTCCCCCTGGGCCCTGTGAATGGCTCCCACAGGGGTCAGTACAGATGCTACGGTGGATACAACCACTCCTCAGAGTGGTCAGCCCCCAGTGACCCCCTGGACATCCTGATCTCAGGTGAGGAACCCAGCAGGTTCAGTCAGGGTCCCAGACTCTACACAGGCCCTGTGGTGGGAGTCCCTGGGGTGATGGTTGGGAGGAGGAGAGATCTCAGGGAGGGAAAGGAACACAGATTATAGAATGGGTGGGGATGGAGAGACTCAGAGACACAGAGACGGGGACACTGAGGGTCCTCTGAGAGAGGCCCTGGGAGGTGTCAGCTGAGAACAAGGTGGGGGCCTCCCCCACCTTCCTTCCTCTCTTTAGGAAATCTCTCTCACAAACCCTCCCTCTCAGTGCAGCCGGGTTCCAGGGTGGCTTCAGGAGAGGATGTGACCCTGCTGGTCAGTCACTGAGCCCAATGGACACTTTCCTTCTGACCAAGGAGGGAGTAGCCAATTGCCCCCTGCATCTCAGATCAAAGTCTACATCTGGGCAGTTCCTGGCTGAATTCTCCATGAGTTCTGTGACATCAGCCCACAAGGGGACCTACAGGTGCTATGGCTCACACAGCTCTTCTCCCTACCTATTGTCACTGCCCAATGAACCCATGGAGCTCATGGCCTAGGAGAGGACTCTTGCCCCTGTACTCTCTGAGATCAAAGGGTCAGCTCAGGGCCCTCCCCCAGGAGAGCTCTGGGACATTGAGGAATGAGGGAGTGAAGGGGGTAAGTCCCAGGGGATGGTCCAACCAAGAGAGGAGGCAACAGAGGAGACTCCCACCCCTGAGCACCTTCCCCTAAAGTCTCAGTCAGGGTAAAGGGCAGGAAAGGTGGGATGAGATGTGGGTGAACCTCAGAGGAAAGTGACCAGACTGAGGGTAGAAGACAAAGACCCCCATCTACCCACCTATTGATATCTCTATCTCAGAATCAGATCCTCTGGGTATCCCACCCCCTCACCACCAGTCCTGACCCCATGAGTGATGGAAACTGTTATCCTGATCCCAGAGAAACTTTCAGACTCATTTCAATCCTATTTCCAATATTGAGGGCAGAGGTCTGCTCCCCAAAGGAACAGGGAACAGGGTGGACAATTAGCGAGGGGCCCATGTGGCTTCTGGTGCTCTGAGGTTGGAGCAGCTGTGACCTCTGTGGGTATCAGAAGGGAGGGAGGTGTCCAAGATTCAGGCAGAGAAGAGGGGCCAGAGCTGAAGGGAGGAGGGACTAGGTGTGTCACCTCCCTGAGCAGGACCGCAGGAGCCATCTCTACTCGATGGGGAGCCAGGAGCAAAGAGGACACGGGGCAGGTACTTAGTTTGGGCATCAGATGTGAGGGGCCCAGGAGGGGTAGAGTCTGTATTGGCTGCACCTTCCCTTGGAAGCCAGAACTTCTGAGAAAGTCTTGTGCCCTCCTTTCCTGGGTTCCACATATGAATAAGGGGGCGCTGCCTAAGGGTGACCTCCAAACATCCCTTTCTGACCCACTGGGGCATCTGGGATGTAGCTCACCCTACACCTGCTTCTGTCTCCAGCCCTCTCTGGGGCCTGTCCTGCTCCTCTCATAACAGACTTATCAGAGGTCAAAAGCTGGGGGATACATGGACTGTTGCATGAGGTTTTGATCCTTAAGATCTAAAATCTCTGCTTAGTACGAGGAAGCCAGAATATTATGAAACAGCAAAGGTTTACAAAACCCCACTGGTCTGGATCTCTCATGCCTCACATGACAGCTGCCTGTTTGCTGAATCCACACTCCACACAGCCCTGCCTGACTTCCAGGCCCCTGCCTTCTCTGGAAGGACATGTGGTGAAGAGGAGGAGGATGGGTCAACAGGGTGTGGTGTCCAGGCCTGATAGGAGACAGGGTGACCTGGGGCAGGGGAGGTGGAGGACAGGCTGGCAACTTGGAGAGAGGACAGACAGACGCCCCTTGGACAGCACTTAATTTCTCATTTCCAAGAGTCCCTCACAGAATAAGTCAGACTCTGAGACTGGTGACTGAAGAGACACTCTTGATCATGGGCTGGGCACAGAGGGTCAGGCCCTGTCCAGGGCAGGATGGTGTCCTGGGGAAACACCCAGGGATACTGATGACTTTTGCCTGCCCTGAGCTCTCTGGCCTCTTGTCCTCAATGCACAGCCCCACACACCAAGGATCACACTGTGGAGAATCTCATCCGCATGGGCACGGCTGTCTTGATCCTGGTGGCCCTGGGGATTCTGCTATTTCGGGAGTGGCCTGGCCAGAGAAGCCCCCAAGATGTCACCAGGAATTAACTCTAGAGATAGCCAAGCACCATCCAGAGTGGAAGAAGCTTGGAGATAACTCTGATGCTCCCAGAAGATTCTGAAATAAAATCTAGGGCATGTGCTATCAGGACTGTCTGCTGGTCATTTCCAGAGGGAGGGATCAATGTTCAAGTGCAGGGACACTGTGTGGAATGTGTCTGAATAGGACATTAAACTCTGTTACTTTTCCTCTCCACCAATGTCGACTTCTCTCACCAGATCCTCTCCTTTTCCACCCTAGGCATGAAGCTGTGTCCCACGTGGCAGCTCTGGGTCCAGAACTCTGCCCACCTGCACACTCTGGTCAACTGTTAGGTCGCAGAGTTTTTTTTCTTTCTAACTGCCCCCTTCCCTGATGCATTTCATCAGTCTCCATCACTTCACTTCAGAGTTCCAAACTTTGTTCCATAACTAAATAAACAGGAGATCAGATTCCCACCAAGAAAATGTGTAAATCAAAAATGACACCCATTTTACAAGGGTACATGTCAAATCTAGTAAGTGTAGAGTATAAATATCATAACACAATGATTAAGAAAGTGTGGTGAAGGCTATGTTAATCAGTCAGTTGTAACTATTTCAAATTGTATATAAAACCAGCACATTGTACCCTATAAATGGATTAATGTATGCAGCTATGATTTAATTTAAAATGTGAAATTAATTGTGTAAAAAAAAGTGATGCCCTGACACCCCATCTGATCCCTACAAGCTCCTCACCCTTTATGAAATGTTCTCTAGTTTCTCCAGAGATGTCCCCACTTGGTACTGTCACACCGCTTACTGTTATTCTACCCTCCAGCTCCCAGAGATCTATGTGTCAACTTCTAGACAGGACTGAGAACGTGCAGTGTGTGCTGCTCTGGGCAGGCTTATTTCACGGAAGTTCTGTCCACACTGCTGAAAGTAACGGGATGTGCTTTCTGATGTCGAGCACTACCCCATGTGTGTACACCTCATGCCCTTATCCTCTCACCCATTCATGTCTGTTATGTTGAATCCGTGTGCCTTGGCTGTTGGGGATGATGCTGTAGTAACAGGAGGGCCCGTGTCTCCCCTCAGTGCAGTGAAGTCCTTTCCTTTGGACGTGCACTCAGCTCTGTGGATGTGCATCACAAGGCAGTTCTATGTTTAGTGTTTAGAACGACG